TTAGGTTATGTTGTTGTGAGAACTTTTGGGATCACTTGAAGATTAGCCGCCACCCACCTGCCCACCCACCTACCTAATGCTGGCCTGGCATTAAGGCGTAAAAGCCCTGAAGGAGAGAGAGAGACCACCACCTGTAATGCACTCTCTCTCCTATACTGATGCCATAGTGGTGACGGGGTGCCAGTGCCATGCTAACAATCACCAACACTCACCACACAGCTGTCATGTTTCAACCCAAGATCCTTAGTAGCCCTGCCCGCCCCGCCCCACCACGCACCTCCCCTGCCTCACCCCACCTCACGCCCTCCTGCCCTGCCCCCATTCCCCCCCTGTCCCCCCACATTCCCCGATCTTCCTGCTCTGCCTCTCACTCCACCCTGCCCTGCCCACCTGGAGACACTACCTCCTCACAACCCCAGTCCTTCCTTCCTTCCTTCCTAGTTCAAAAATAATGTGGCGCTCGTTCATAAGGACGGGGGGGTGAAATATGAAGGTAAGTGACAGGTTAAAGTGTGTGTGTGTGTGTGTGTGTGTGTGTGTGTGTGTGTGTGTGTGTGTGTGTGTGTGTGTGTGGTGGTAGAATTTCCTCCTCTTACTTCCTGGAAGGTGGGAAATTGACGAGTGTTTGTACTGGGGAGAGGGTCTCTCTCTCTCTCTCTCTCTCTCTCTCTCTCAGTTAAAGCGAGAATACAGGTCAGTAATCGAGATATAATCATACAGTTAAAGCAGTGTCAGAGGTTAGGTTAGGTTGGGTTCTATTAGGACTCATCCCATTTGGTGAGGGTCTGTCTGTCTGGTCTGGTCTGGTCTGGTCTGGTCTGGTCTGGTCTGGTCTGTCTGTCTCTCTGTCATCGTGAGTGTAACGTGACTCGAGTTGGTACACGGGCGTGGTAAAGAACTCGGGGCCGAGGTGTTTTAAGTCACTCTTTGTAAGCTATCGGGTTAATTAAAGAACGTGACTTGACGGCGTAAGTCTTTGGAAGGGGGAAAAAAATAACTGGAATAAATAATGTCTTGAGGAGATCGTGGGGGATACTAAGGAAGGAGTGTCCCGGAAGTGTAGAGAGACGGACGGGAGAGATTCTAACAAGGGAGACGGTGGGTGGGGGGGTTGGAGGAATGGTTTGTTTACATGAGGGTAGGTGTGTCAGCTGTCTTGTCGTGTTTGTCGTCAGCTGTACTGTACCTTTCTGTCAGCCATCCTGTACCGTTCGTCAGCTGCATTGTAGTGGCAGTACATAGGAACACCGTAGCTATGTGTGTGTGTGTGTGTGACTCAGTAGGCCACACCGTTGTTTCGTCGTTATTATCTTCATTTGCATAGTTGTATTTTCTTCATTGTCTTGTATATTTGCTTCATGTGTGTGCGTGATGTTAGGAAAACGTTTAAAATAATATATATCTGAAAGAGGGAGGGGGAGAAGCAATTTATTTTATTAGTTTCCAGGGAGTGAGTCCTGAGTCCTGCCAGTGTGTTGTTGTAGGTGAATCTATCACTGAGGAGACACACACACACACACCACACATACTACTACTACTACTATTTACTATTACTACTACTACTATTACTATTATGCTGTCACTGAGAATCGAGTATGACGACCATCCAGCCATGATACAATGATACGAGTTATTAGGGATGTCACCTTCATTGGTGAGTTCTGAGGTGACTCAAGAGGCCGATAGCGGACCCGCAGGGCCGTCCACAGATGTTGCACGTGTGGGCTACATCTAGTGCAGGGGGGATAGCGTCTTTCCGGCGTTGGCGCTTGTCTGTCTCGTTTGCAGTCAGGCTAACTCGAAAGTATTGACACCTTCTTGTGTGGTGCTCCTCCAAGCGTTACGTTTACTATTCGTTAGATGACTGTAAAGTAGCTGCTTTGGCAGTCTACTGTCGTCCATGGCCAGTCCAGCGTAGTTGTTCATGGATAATGGTAGCCTCGATGCTCCTACAGTTGGTGTCAGCATGAATACTGGCATTTGTTCTCTTGTTTTCCCAGCGAACTCGGAGGATGGAGCGTAGACTATGTTGGTGAAAGTTTTCAAGTGCCTTGAGGTGCCTCCTGTTATGACACATGTCATATAGAAGTTGAGAGCACTACTCTCGATATACGTGTACTTTGTAGATAATTTCTTCTCCTACAGCTAACATGGGAATAGAGTCTGCCAAAGGCTGAGATGCATCTGATCCGATGTTGAATCTCTTCGTCGATGTCGCGGTGGTGGGCAGGTGGGAACCACGATACTGAAAGTGGGTAACATTGAGAGGTAGTACCGTTACGTTGGATGGATGGTGGAGGTGTGGCTGAACCAGGGACAGGCTGAAAGAGAATCTGAGTCTTACGTACATTCACGTCAAGGCCGAAGTGTACTATGCATCTGCATAGGTGTTCAGGATCTCGTGTAGATCATGTTCAGTAGCAAGCAACAAGAGGGTCGTCTGCTTACTGAAGTTCAGTAATGAGCTGCCGACACCTTTGTTTTTCCTGGAATCATGTTGAAAAGACCTCTTCATCCGGTACTCGATGTTCACCGTTCACCCTGCTGGCTAAATTGGCACTGGCGCGAGTAAGAAGGCAGCCAAG